AAAAATGGCAAAAAGGAGGGAAAATTCCAAAAGGTGTGGTTGAGATGGGAAGTTGGTGTCCGAGTGGATCGAGGTCACGATAGCTCAAGTGGTAGAGCAGCGGCGTATCTATCAGAAGATAGTGGGTTCGAATCCCGCTCGTGCCATTGACTTTTTTAATCTCAACTAAAAACCTTAATTAATTTTAATCTAACATTTTCTAGTATTGTATAAATTCATTTTTTGAATTTAAATTTTTTAGCATTGTATAAATTCATTTTTTTAAATCTAAAATTGCTAGCATTGTATAAATTCATTTTTTCACAGACACGTATTTGTAAAATTTAAACAAAGTTTATAAATTCCAGGGACTGAAGATGATCTCAATAAAGATCGAAACGTTGGCACGATAAAGGAAATGTTTTTCTAAAACCTACGTCACACCAGACCGCATCTCACGATCTACAAATAATCATTAACTAAAGGTCACTATACACCACACAGTTGTATACAAATAAAAAAAAAATTATACAACAAAATGCAAGAAATTACACGAGCCAGGGAGATCGAGACGATGTTTACATATTTTCTTCTTTATATTAAAATTTTTTGTATTGTTATTACAATTGATCGGGAATTTTAGGTTTTGAAAGTTCGGTCTAACCCTGGTCCGCTCGTTCTCGCTGTTGTTTCATTCCAGAAGTTTTTTGACGGAACAAACCGAAGAAGTCGCACAATTTTTCCCAGTAAGTAAATAACCTTAGCCTAAATTCTTCCGACTTGAAAATCTGCATTTATAAGATTATGTCACCGTATCTACGTTTATAAATGTTTTGATTATTGCGACGAATCTCACCGTGTACTATTCGAGAGAGTGAAAAAAATAACTCACAGTTATGTACTTTTTTTTATGGCGCCGTTACGATTGAAATAAAGAGCTTTCGAGGCGGAAAAGGAGAAAAGAGAAAGAGAAAGAGATGGAGAGAGTGGCTATGAAACTGAAAACATGAAGAAAGGTTAGAAGGAGAAGTAGTGGAGAAGTACAGTTAGTTTAGCCGGAGGAACAAGAAAGGGCAACGATCTCCCAAGCCCTATCTTGCCCCCATTTCGCTATGAGCGTTCTGCCTCTTCCTCTGCCTTGTTTTTCTCATTTCTGCACTTTTTTTTACACTTGTTATTCTTCCCTTGTTGTCCACCCCGAAAACACACAGAGGAGAGAAATAATCCGTGTTTTACTGTTATGCTGATATGTGTTCGCTCGGACTGGACCTAGTTTGTTTTTGACTTGATGCACTTAGAAAATAACTTGATTTGTGTTTGAAATTTGTATAAATGAAACAAAACGTAAAATCAAATAGTACGGAATGCCATAAGAATTTTTTAATTATTTTTTTTTTTTAATAAATCGAAATATCTTTAACAATATGGTTTTGAATAGATTATTATGTTATTTTAGGCCTGGAATTTTTCATTTGCAGTGTATATTAATCATTTATTTACAATAAAATATAAAACTTTAGTTCAAAAAACTTCATAAACTCAGGAATTTATTGTTTGATTGTTATCTACCATCCTCGTCTTCTCATTGCCATGTTAATGTGTATATTCTATTTTGTCTTTAGTAAGTCCGTCTTTTTTGTTTTGTTTTATTGTTAGTAATCCTATTGTGTTTGTGGTTTTTATGACTAATTTGTTGAATAAATAAATTTGTACATTTTTACCCCAATGTATGTCACTGTGGTCCATTTAGTGACCGTTTTCGTATCTCTCAGGTATTGCCATTTTGTGTCTGTGTGGTTGTTATGAGTCGGCTCCTATGATGTTTTCTGCATATGTCTAATTGTAGTTTGCCTTCTGTTTTTGTGTTTGTTAAGTCGAGAAAGTTTATACTGACTGTTTCTTTAGTGAATTGTATGTTTTTGTGTATTGATTTTCAGATCTGTCAGTACGTCATCTATGTGTGGTGATTAGTGACCGTTAATCGATAATTATTCAGAAACGTGGANTGTATGTCCATCGTTTCCTTTAGTGGAATTGATGGATATAGGTTTGTCATGCCAAATGATATTACTTTAGTAGTAGTTTTAATTTGTGTGTCTTGGATATTGATAATTTTTTATGAGTTTTTTAAGACAGTATGTGTCGTTTAGTTTGAGGTGTGTTTTGGGAGATTGTATGCGGAGGCTGGTTTGTAGTTTAGTTGGTCTCGTTAATATAATTCGTCTGGGTATTTTTGGGAGTGTTCTGAGTTTGCAAGTTTTTTCGGGGCTATGATTAAAAGGGATTTGTTAATTGTGTCTTGGATGCTTTTTCGAAATTTATTTGTGGGGTCTTTGTAGTCAGTTTTTTATTTTTTTATTATTTTTATAGAACTGTTTGATTTGTTAATGCAGCCTGATTTTGTTATATCTGCGTTGCTTTCGTCTACTCGCATAGTAAGTCGTATTTCCTTAGTTTGTATTTTTTTTTTAAATGATTTTAATTCATCATTGTTTGTGTCGTTTTGATCGTGTGTTTTCTCTGTTGGCCACTAAGTGTCTTGCGCTTTCCTGTTGTTCTGTGGATAAGATTTAATGCTGTTTCAACGTCTATTTTGTCTTGGTGAGGTTTTGTTATGTGTTGGAGGTTTGTGAGTCTAATTCAAGCGAAAATCCAATCAGCAGGATAGTTTCCATTGAAAAGAAGTACAAATAAAACAAGTTTTTATTTGTATTTGTATCTTGTTTACGTGCTTAAATTTTGCTCAGCAGAGTCGTTTCCAAGAAGAACAAGTGCAAATTCATCCCCAAAATAATTTCGGATTTTTTTATTTAGTTTCTTTCGTCGACTTCGAGGTTTACGAACTTAATACTTGCAAAAATCGACCTAGCAGGGTCTTTTCGTATAAGGACAAGTGGAAATTTTACGAAAAAACTGATTTTTTGCGTTTATCTTGTAATCTATGAGGTTTTTGAGCTTCTCTCTTGCGCCAATTGGCTCACAGGGTTGTTTTCAATAAGAAAATGTGCAAATTCGTCGCAACAAATTTTTTGATTTCTTTGGCGTTTATTTTGTAAGCTGTGATGTTTACGAGCTTAACTCTTGCACCAATTGACTCAGGAGAGTCGTTTCCAAGAAGAATAAGTGCAAATTCGTTTTAAAAAAATCGGATTTTTTATTTAGTTTCTTTTGTCGACTTCGAGGTTTACGAACTTAATACTTGCAAAAATCGACTTAGCAGGGTCTTTTCGTATAAGGACAAGTGGAAATTTTACGAAACAAACTCATTTTTTGAATTTATGTAATCTATGGGGTTTTTGAGTTTATGTCTTGCGCCAATTGGCTCACAGGGTTGTTTTCAAAAAGAAAATGCGCAAATTCGTCGCAAACAAATTTTTGGATTTCTTTGGCATTTATCTTGTAAACTATGAGGTATCGATTCAGCAGGGATGTTTTTTTATCTTCTTCCGTTCTATTTAAAAATAACACATAGACCGACAACTGTATGATCATGAAATGGTACACTGTTTCAAAGGCACCAAGCAAATAAAGAGATGCAGACCAGGGTATTTGTAAAAGACATAAATAAATATTAGCAATTTAGGACTTAATGAAAAGTTTCTTTATTTTGTAATTTAATTACAATTAATTATGCTCTTGTTTTCTTCTACATATAGATTTATACATAGCACATAAAAAAGACAAGAAATCTAACTGATTTGTGTGTATGGGCTGGTGTAGTAACAATTAAACACACAAATCACAGAATATTGTCATAAGATGACTGTTGAGTATAAATGGAGAGAAAATAAAAGGGATTTAAAAAAAAAGAGCCATTTAATTAAAAATTATGTTATGATTTTTAAATACACATTATTTGAGAACACCTAATAATTTCAAAAGGGATAAAAAGTTTTTTTTTTTTAAAGAGAAGTATCTATTTTATTACTAATATTGAAATTTTGTAAAAAGGAACTGAAAAGATATATTAAAATTATACTGTACACAGAAACATTATTTTTAAATTTTATATTTATCATAACAATCAACTTTATGACAGATTTTTTCATAAAAGTATTTGAATTTAATTTTTTGTTTAGTGATATAGATATAAACAGATTGTGTATGTCTTTATCACTAGAAAAAAAATTATAACAATAGGAATGTAGGTTTAGAAATTTAAATAAAATGTTTTCAAACAACAATAATATGTACAACTTTGGCATAACAATTGAAATAATTTATACATAAATTACATTATTTACATATAGTACAGTTATAAATAATAAGCCGATTGTTTAAACTACTTTGGGGTCGATGATGGAAAGCTGTTCTTTTTTCAGAAGTGACCTTCCGTTGTCAAGCGAGATCGCCGGTGACATGGAAAGAGCAGGATTAGCAACGGCAATAATATTCCCTCCGCTCGATGCGATAACCTGAAAAGAAAGGAAAATAATTTCAAAAATAGTTCAACTTTTATAAAACAGAAAAGCGTTTTCTAGCAAACCTTCACTTTGTTCTCGTGGAAAAATGAATTGTCAAATGTGTCGGCCTTCTCCTTACCGACTTTGCTGTTGAGCTCTTTCACATTGTGTTCATCATCTGTGTCTACCTGTAAATGCCGTTTTAAACACAATGAATACATTTTCTAAAATTTAAACCCTTTCCTATCATGCTTGCAACCCATTTATAAAAATGTTAGTACTGTAGCGCAAACGCATGCTTAGTTACTTTGTATTGTTAGTATCTATGAACTGTGCAACCCAACCACCAAATCCCAAAATATTCTTCATTACCTGATGACTTTTTTTTTAGTTTACACTTAATAATAATTAATTGCTCGGTCAATTTATGATTCTTTATACTACTTTCTTGTTAAGTTTTCACTGCATCCAATTTTTTTCTTGCTGTAGTTGTTATCGTAAATATTGTACTTTTCTTCACAGGATATATCATGACAACTGGGTCTTTAAGTTTAAGCTGTTTACATTACAATGTTAAATAATAATAAAAACTAAGACAATAAACTGTATATGAAACTTAAGTCGTATTTTTGCATAATTGTTGATTTTCATGGGTAAGATTTTCTCAAGTTGAGTCTGAAGGAACATATATACATAAATCATACATTTAAATTAATTATACTTTTAATTTAAGGTCTTGGTTGAGATGAAAAAGCCAGCGTCACGAGTAGTATTTGAACCTATGACCTTCGGCCTCGTGACATGATAAGTCAAGGGGTTAGAGCAGTGGCAGATTGAGCTGAAGGTCGTTGGTTCGAATCCCGCTCATGAACTCGGTTTTTCAACTCAACCAAGGCCTTAGATTAAAACTACAATTAATTTAAATAATTAATAAAGTCAATTATGACTACTAAATACATATACGGATTAATAAATAATACATTCACATCATTGAAAAATTTGTTCAGTAGGACTTACAATGAATAATAGAAGATAACAAGATGGCCTGGATAAAAGAAAGTGGATTAATTTAGGACTTTTTGGCGATTTTGGGCACATCGTCATGCCTGTACAAACTATTTCAAATTTTGCCGGAATTTCTTTATATTTATTCAGTTTGTACAGATATGGTGATATTTGCAAAAATCGCCTGATTTCTTTTTACTAGACTGCCCTCCTGTTCTCTTGTTGTCCATAAATTTATAAATATATAGATGAAAACAAATGGAAAATTTTTTTGATTTTGAAATGGTCCTTTCTAGTTTGCTTCCATGAAATCATAATGCCTTGTACATTAAAAATGATTAAATTAAGTTCACTAATTTTGTGGTCCGCTTTACCAATTTACACGACATTTCAAAAATGGCAAAAAGGAGGGAAAATTCAAAAGGTGCGGTTGAGATGGGAAGTTAGTGTCCGAGTGGATCAAGGTCACAATAGCTCAAGTGGTAGAGCAGCTGCGTATCAAGCTGAAGATCGTGGGTTCGAATCCCGCTCGTGCCATTACTTTTTTATCTCAACTAAAAGCCTTAATTAATTGTAATAGATTAAATTAAGCTTGATTAATCATAAATCGCATTGATTTTCAGAAACTTCAGATTCAGAACAATTTCAATTTTTAAACAGATCTGTAATTATTCGTTCAAAAATACAAAATATTTGTTTAAATTGATCAATTAATACTTATTTTCTGAAAATCAAATATTGTTATGATACCAATATTAATAACATGCTTTTAATTAAATTTTTGAAATAGTTACTTGAAAACAAACACCTTTTTGGTTAATTAAACTGTATGTAAGATTATTCTTGCTATTTTTAAAGATTAGTTACCCCAATCAACACCATTTTCTATGACTGAAAAAAGTCCTTATTTTTCATTAATTTCTGGTTGCTAAACATGAATATGAACTTGATTTTCTTCTATCACACACGGTTTTTTTTTCTCCAAATAAAATAGGCCTCCAATTCACTTTTGGCGATAATAATAAATAAATAAAAAAATAAAAAAAGTAGAGCAGAAATTGAGTTATAATATAAGCATGAAAATGCTTTTTGTTAGTGGACAATACAAAAATACAAACTGTATTGGGATTTTAAGATTATACGGCTTCTACTTGTCCAATGATTTCATAAATTTTTTGATTTCTTTGTAAGTTAGATAGTCAAGAGCAGGCAAAATATTGCTTCCAATTTACAATTAATTAAGGTTTTCAGTTGACATAAAAAAGCCATGGCACGAGCGGGATTCGAACCCACGATCTTCGGCTTGATACGCCACTGCTCTACCACTTGAACTATTCAATTTCTAGTGAATTTAATAAGTTTAAAATGAAGTATACTTCACTAAAGCTCACCATGGCCATTTCATTTGTCGCCGAGAATCCAACCCGATTACACGACATTTGAAAAATGGCAAAAAGGAGGGAAAATTCAAAAGATGCGGTTGAGATGGGAAGTTGGTGTCCGAGTGGATCGAAGTCACGATAGCTCAAGTGGTAGAGCAGCGGCGTATCAAGCCGAAGATCGTGGGTTCGAATCCCGCTCATGCCATTGGCTTTTTTATCTCAACTGAAAACCTCAATTAATTGTAATATATTAATTGGTCAAGCAGACCATGAAACTAGTGAATTGCTTCCATTTTTTGGCATATTAAACTTGGGCTAGTGAAACATTTTGTCAAAGGCACCTGTAAAACGTGTTTTCAATACCTCACACAACAGAAAATTAGATTTGGAATTTTCACAGTCCCACAGATTTGCAAACTGAGTAACATCCAAGAATTCGATACAATATTGAAGGACACAGAAAAGCACATGTGGCCGGGCTTCAAGTTTGAAGAGATCCTGGGCAAGAAGAGAAATCCAAACTATCAAAAAATTTTCAAAAATGCTATTGTGGTTGACTCTTTTACTCTTGGATGCGGCATTAGTGTGAAAATGCACATTCTACGCTCAAATCTGAAGTATTTTTATAAAAATTTTGGGGTTGAAGTGAAGAACATGGTGCAAGGTTCCATCGAGACGTCAAAACGATGGAACAAACGTACCAACATTAACATGATGGCATCTCAAGAGGGAAAACCACTGTCTGATAGAAAATGGACGACAATGAGGAGTACCCAAAAATGTTGTGGGTTCGACTCCATTTTAAACTTATTGACTTAACAAAAGTGCGATAATTACAAGACACAAAGTTTATTTCTACTATCAAGCGCAACGTATATACTTCCCACTAATAAATTTTTATTTTTTCAATTGTACATTTGCCAAATAACCTGTTTTTGATGTTATATTGCTGGGCGTATACAACTTATTTGTAAAAAATCTGTATGCGATAAAACGAAACAATTAATGTTTTAAAAATCAGTGCAAAAAACTTTCAGAGAACACTAATTTCCAGCCATTAAGAAAAAAATTCAAATATCGAGTAGTGTTATTATTGGTATATTGCCAGACTCCAATTTCATAAAATGCTGTAAAATCCTCTAGAAAAAAAAAGTGAGACTACATTCAAATAACCATTTTCTGAGTGCTAATGTGCTATTGTTGTTGGTTCGTGATGATCATTACGGTGTTAGCAACTAATAATCATTTTGTGCACAGCCAATTTTTTGTTAAAAAGCTTCAGCGAGTTTAAGAATTACCGCAATTTGGTAAAAATCGGCCTTGCTTTACCTGACTTCCTTTAAAGTGGCTGATCTCAGTGGGATCGCACTCTCTACTCATCGAATCCCTGGAGTCACCGATTTCCTGAAATTACAATTTATTTCCATAAGTTTTTATTTTTAAATCTTAAATTTTGCCCACTATTAATTTTTAAAAGAATATTTTTGTAAATGGAATATAATTACCGGGAGTGGTGAGCTGTCATTGCTGAATGACAATTGGGAATCGGTGTCGTCAGTGTCAAATCTATCATGGTCAGCAAATACGATTTTACCACTACTGTTCTGCTTGTACAACCTGAGAGAAAGTTTTAATTTTTCAAACAGAGAGAACTACAAAGAAAAATGGTTATTTGCCCACGGAGTTCCTTTTAGAAAAGTGAAAAACATACAAGGCATTAAACAGAAAATCATGCTGAGAGATGATTTAAAATTAACAAAAGCTACTTCGCAAAACTACTTTGAAAATAATAAAAATAAAAATAAAAAATGCATGAAATGATTGTCATTTCAATTCCATCTGTGAAAAAATATTAACGATTGTTAAAAAATTGTGCAATATTCTTCATATGTCTTGAGTGCACAACCAGCTCTTGCCAAATTAATTTTTTTTCCGCCAGTTTTTAACTTGTTCCAGCCCTTTTGTACCTGTTGGGCTGTAGCGACTGGTTTACAAGCTGTGTCTGCTCGTGCAAGAGCTGCTGTTGCCTCGCTAACAGAGCGTCGACCTGTTTCTGCACACCATCGTCCGCTTTGCCGTTGGTTCCAAGCAGGCCTTCAGTCCTATCATTCACGTTCTGTAGTTCTTCAGCTATTTGGTCTAGCCTCTCCTAAAATTGACAATCAAATCAACAATGTTTCTAATAATATTGAGAAAAAATATCAAGGTTTGTAACAAACTTGTCGCTTTTGGATTGTTTCATCGTTTTCAGAGGAGTAATTGTCATTCCTAGGGCGTTTTGAAACTGGCTGATCACCATTATTGTATATCGAGCCTCTTGAGTATGATCTAAAAAAAAAAAACAAAAAAAAAATGATTAGTGCTATAAGTTCTACAGTTTCTGATCGACACTGAAAAACACACCATGCAATAATTAAATATCATGCTTTGAGAAAAAAACAAACAAAATAACTCAGGCCTTATATGTATAGACACACATATAACGTACTAAATAAAAGTGATTTATCCTCTATCTAGTGAATAAAAATTCTACATAAACTAAATAACTAGTTTAGTGTGACCAAACCAAAACACCAATTATCTAACATACAACTTTTTTTTTCTAGTGTAACCAATTGAGTGTTATTAGACTACAACAAAATTTCTAACATTTTAACAATGTCCAACAACAGAAGGGTCAATGTTTGTTTGTTTACTTTGAATGGCCTTTGGAATAGTGGTATCCTGAGTCCCGCACAACTTGCCTTGCTAAGGGAAATAGCTCGTTCCTTCTAGTAAGAAGAGCCGGCATGAACCTGCAAATCTGAGCCGCCGCCTCATTTACTGAAACCTAAAACACAAAAGAGAAATATATTTTTTTATAAATCAACAATATTTTAACATTTTCTACAATTCTAAACAGAACATTTTAATAATTTATAAAAGTGGAACAATAACATATTGAAGTCACGAGGCCATCTCCTCTACAATCGTCTGGTGGATTGTAGGATGGTTTCTATTGGATAAGGGGTTGTTCAAGGTGTTTTATTGGGTTTTGTTGCGTACTTATGAAACCTCAGGCATCATCGGCTGAAGGCCACCTTCCAAAAATGGAATGACTCAGTGGATCTCTTCTGATCGAGACGCTGAAAGTGATGCCACCTTTGTAGGAGTTCCAGATTACACACAAATTCACTAATTTTGTGGTCCGCTTGACCAATTAATACATTACAATTAATTAAGGTTTTTAGTTGAGATGAAAAAAATATATAAAAATTGAAATATGGCAAAAAGGAGGGAAAACTCATATGGTGGGGTTGAGATAGGAAGTTGATGTCCGAGTGGATCGAGGTCACGATAGCTCAAGTGGTAGAGAAGCGGCGTATCTAGCCAAACGTCGTGGGTTCGAATCCCGCTCGTGCCATTGACTTTTTTCATCTCAACTAAAAACCTTAATTAATTGTAAGATATTACTTGGTCAAGCGGACCACGAAACTAGTGAATTTAATAAGTTTAAAATGAAGTATACCTTCACTAGAGTCCTCCGTGGCCATTTCATTTGTCGCCGAGAATCAAATTGATTACACGACATTTGTAAAATGGTAAAAAGGAGGGAAAATTCAAAAGGTGTGGTTGAGATGGGAAGTTAGTGTCTGAGTGGATCGAGGTCACGATAGCTCAGGTGGTAGAGCAGCGGCGTATCTAGCTGAAGATCGTGGGTTCGAATCCCGCTTGTGCCATTGACTTTTTTTCATCTCAACTAAAAACCTTAATTAATTGTAATTACACACAAAAATCATTAGTTTTTTAAATTAAAAAAAAAGATAATTTTAATTTTTTTTTTGTATGTACCATTACAGCAGTGAGCTTTTTTAATGTCATTCTTTTTCAAGTATATGTTTTGCATTTTTTTAAATAAATTTTTTATAAGCTAGAGTAGGTGAAAAGATCCATTTTTTGGCCCTCTTCCTTTAGTTTGGTCAACCGATTATTTGTTTTACTTTAAATGTTGCGTCATTACTCCAAATATAATTTGCATTTGAAAAGAATTGGAAGTGGATCAAGTTTTAGGTTCTATTGGGCAACTCGATTGGGGTGAGAGGAGAGTTTTGTGTGGAAAGTGTTAAAATGTTAAAGGATTTTTTTCCCCGAGAGGGATTTTGATGTCATTGTGAAGGATGATGTCGGAGATGTAATAGGGAGCATTGAGAAGGATCTGAGAACTTTGGATCGACTGTATTCTTTTGATGTTGGAAGGTTTAGCAGAGCTCCATATTCTTAGATCTTATGCCCAGATTGATTTTAGTACAGTCTTGTAGAATGTCCGGCTTGTTTTTTTTAAATGTTAGATTTGCATGACAGTAGTCTGAAAAATAGTTGAAAATGTTTGTTTAATTCTTGTTGTTTTAGTCGTGTTGGTTTCAGCTCTTGAGTCTAGATGGAAGCGAAGGTAGCAGACGAAGTCTGTTTTTGCCATGAGAGTATTATTGAGGAATATTGTTTGAGGGGTTTTGTTTCGAAGGTTCAATGATATGTGATTATGCTTCAATCAAGCTTTACATGCCAGGCTGTATGCAGGACATGCTTGGAGCTCCTCCGAAGCAATTATGGGATGGGATCAGAAGATAGCCCAGCTGTGACTTCGGCAAAGAGTGCAAGTATGGTGGAGGGTGAAGTTGGTATATCTGTAGAGTAAATTATCAAGCAAAAATTATTTGTTAAGTCCAAGTATAATCAACACAGTTAAGCAATACTGGTTTATATTATATGTTTTCATTTGACTGTGACTTTACTAAATGTCCTTATCCATTAAAAGGAGGTTAAATAGCTGATAGAAATAAACATTCAAACCACACACAGGAGGTTTTAAGTTTCATTAATTCCCTAAATATTATGAATTTATTAATTAATGAAGTATTGTTAATTTTTGATCTTTCTAATTGTAAGATTATTAATCTTGAAAATCAACAAACAGAAATGAAAAATATTAAAGATGGTAAATTGAACAATGAATGTTCAATAGTCTTTCACTTCAAGGTTATTGTAGTTGGGAAAGAAGTCCTTATATGTAATATAATAATGCAATATTTCTATATACACGTATGTGTTTTTGTCATTATTTGAGGTTTGTTTTGTATGGGGATATATTTTTTTTCCCGAAATGGGGGTGGCTTGTTTACGCTTATGTGTTAGTGTGGTTATTTTGTTTTTAATTGCATTATTGTGTATGTGTTTGTATTTTGTGTTTGTATGTCTATGTTATTGTGTGTGCTTATGTGTTTGTTTATGTGTTTATTTGAATGATAGTATTAGTTTGTATTGCCCATGTTTATTTATTTATGTGTGACTTTTTGCCTACAGTTAAGTGTATGTCGTTATTTTTTGTTTGAATGTTTTTTTGTTTTATTTTATGAGTTTGGTTTGTATGTTCAAGTCTACATATAAGTAAATGTTTGTGCTTTTGTGTTTGTGTGTGTGTGTTTGTTTGAGAAAGGATTTTAGTTTTTTTACCAGTTTTTTGTGGTTATTTGTATTTGAGTGCGCTTTTGTTTCTCAATGTTTTATCATATTTGTTTTTGTTTTGCTCAAATGCATTTTATTTTCTATCTTTGTGTGTACATATAAGTTATTGTTTGCGCTTTTGGGTTTGTGTGTGTTTGTTTGAGCCAGGATTTTAGTTTTTACAAGTTTTTTTTCTCATTTTTTTTGTTTCTCAGGGTTTTATTGTGTGTTTTTGTTTTGGTCGTATGCATTTTATTTTGTATCTTTGTTGGAAAAAACTAGATAATTATTTGTGCTTAAACTGTTTGTGTGTTCGCTTGAACAAGGATTTCAGTTTTTTCCTGTTTTTGTGGTTATTTTTATTTTAATGTGTTTTTTGTTTGTCAATGTTTTATTGTGTTCGTTTTTGTTTTGTTCGTATGCATTTATTTTCTATCATTGTGTGTACATATAAGTTATTGTTTGTGCTTTTGGGTTTGTGTGTGTTTGTTTGAGCCAGGATTTCAGTTTTTATGAGTTTTTTCTTATTTTTATTTGAGTGTTTTTGTTTTGATATTGTATGCATTTTATTTTGTATCTTTGTGGGTAAAAACTAGATAATTATTTGTGCTTAAAGTGTTTACGTGTTTGCTTGAACAAGGGTTTTAATTTTTTGCCAGTTTTTTGTGGTTATTTTTATTTTAGTGTGTTTTTGTTTCTAAATGTTTTATTGTGTTTGTTTTTGTTTTGCTCATATGCATTTTATTTTTTATCTTTGTGTGTACATATAAGTTATTTATTATTTTTTTGTGCTTTTATGTTTGTTTGAGCCAGGATTTTAGTTTTTACAAATTTTTTTTCTCGTTTTTATTTGCAATTTTTTGTTTCTCAGGGTTTTATTGTGTTTTTGTTTTGGTCGTAGTATGCATTTTATTTTGTATATTTGTTGGTAAGAAACTAGATAATTATTTGTGCTTAATGTGTTTGTATGTTTGCTTGAACAAGGATTTTAGTTTTTTATCAGTTTTTGTGGTTATTTTTATTTTAGCGTGCTTTTGTTTCTCAATGTTTTATTCTGTATATGTTTTGTCCATATGCATTTTATTTTGCATGTTTTGGACATACACGTTGTTGTGCTTTTGTGTTTGTGTGTGTGTGTTTATTCGAGCAAGGTTTTTATTTTTTTACAAGTATTTTTGCGGTTATTTATTTGAGTGCAAGTTTTCTTCGTGTTTGTTTATTTATGTCTTATTGTATATGTTATGATAGTTTCTGTACATATGTGGGTTTGTTTGGAGTTTGAGTTATTTTCTGTACATTTGTATTTGCGCGTGAAAAATGTTCTTGTTTGCGTGATGGTTTTCGTTTGTTTGTACTTGTGTATTGTGTGTTTATTTATGTATTTTTTTACATATTTTTGTGTTGTTTGTATTTGCATATGTATGTTTTTTATTTTCTTTCGTGTATTTTTTGTTATTGTTTATTTATTGAGTTTAGTTTGTTTGTATACATGCATATATATTTTTATGAATAGGTTTATATTTATTTCATACTAAATCCCTTATATTTAGTGGTCCGATTGACCAAATTACTTCTTTCAATTAATTAATCTGTTTATGTAAGGTTTTGGTTGAAATGAAAAAGTTAGTGTGACGAGCGGGATTCGAACCCACGACATACGGCTTTTATTTCTCATAATTCCATACATTTCTCCACACAAAGATGAAGATGAACGCCCATTTTAATATTATTTTTTCTTTCAAATCGCCACTATTTTTTAACGTTGACCAGTACTGGCGGTTGTCCACAAGTGAATCCCACCGATGATGTGAAGCGTACTTTAGAGGGGACATTTCACGAAAATCTTTCAAACGGTGGACGTTCATGAAATAGCAACACATTACGCAACCGGATGGTAACCGGCTTAATTTGTCAAGTCTGGAACTTCGGGGAGCTTAACAGCGGCGTATCCACTTAATTGTCCATCGGAACGGCCCATTGTCTACTCGGGAACATCAGCGGCGGCATGTGTTTCCACAATGGAGTCATCTGTACATCACGTTAAGGAGTGGACCCGGCCGTCATGCATGCATAATGATTATCAAAACTTGAAAGGGTTATCGAGAACGAATAAAAACTTTGTTGTGGGAGGGGTGGTGAAAGAGAGAGAAAAAAAACTTGTTCTGGTCCGATCTTTAATTTGGGCATCTGCCTATTGAATCAAAAGACGACAATACCCCGCTTTCCATACCACCCCCGAAGGTATGACCTAGATTTTGTTGAGTAAACAGACTTATCTTCAGCCGAGGATCTCTTTTTTTGGCCTCCCCATCCCATTTAATATTTTCAATGAGATATAACGGAACACCGCTAACGTCCTGGCGTAATGACCGTGAAATTGTGAAGGGAAAAGCCAAAAAAAATTATTTAGATTTACTAAGTTTTTTTTTTATTATCTACCTTTTTTCGTGAGGGGCTTTGTAATTTAATTGTAATTTAAAGAATTTCTTTTCTAATCATGCACGGTTTATGAAAAACTTTCGAGTTAGGTCGATTTGAACAAAAACTCACTTCGTGCAGTGTCAAAGGTTTCTCGGGCTTCCTTTTGCAGTCGAATCTTCCGTAAATGGCGGCGAACTTCCTTATTAATTCCATCCTTCTAGGATCGTCTTCCGGCATCGATAGGACTTGCTGAAAAATAAAGAAAAATGTAAACATGAATAAGTTTTAGTTAAATAACAGGCCTTATTCAGGTGAAAAAAGTATCAAACAGGTTTTTATCAGGTCAATGATGTGATAAATAACACAGCACCGTTCAGCAACAAGGTTTAATAATCTATACATTTTGATAATGTAATTATTGGTTATCGGCTAACGATAATTAAATAATTGAAAATCAACTGTGTAAAGTTGGTTTGCCAATTGTTGAACATTTGCCCGACGAAGGTCCGCCTGTGCTCGCTGCGTCCTTAAATCTCACGACTAACTTTTTTAAAAATTAATATTAATTATTTAAAGTGTTGTAAAATTTGTACGCATTATTGTAAGAAGTTTGATTTAGTCTGTTCTAATTTTATAATTTTACTTTAAAAACCAAAAAAAACCCCTGCTGAATTTAAAGCTTATAAACGAATTTAAGAATGTAAAATCATAACGTTTCTTTTGAAAAAAATGTAAAAAATTGAAAAGTAGGTTTTGGGCTCGTCCGGGATTTGAACCCGGGACCTCTCGCACCCGAAGCGAGAATCATACCCCTAGACCAACGAGCCGAACGGGTTGTACTGGCTACAAAAATCATTTTATATCTTTCCATCCTCGATAAATATTATATCCGTACTGTCATCATTATCGTGCTAGATGATATAAAAAATGTTGCGTAAATACGTATTATATTAAAGTTAAGTGCGAATTATGTCGGAATTAAATCGGAGTTATTTTAAAGAATTAATTAAGAAGAGTGATGAGGACAATTTTGTGAAGGATTCAAACAGATGATGAATAAGTGAACTGTTTTATACATTCAAAGTTAAAAACCCAGATTATATTTATTTGCTTATATTTCATAACTCGGCATTAAGTTTTTTTGCCTCACATTGGCCACACCTCAGGTTTCTGGGATTCTTATAAGAACCTACTTATACATATTTGGATTTCGTTCGATTTTTTGTAATTATATAAACTGTTCACAAATGAATAGGAATATTTATATTTATTCTTATACTAACAAGCTTTAAAATCAAACAAATTTTAATCCTCATTTTTAATAAAGCATTTACTTAAGAGCAGTAAACATGAAGATTATTCATTTTGTAAACAAATATCTTTTCTTGTATTTTCTCCTTTTTAATCAAGTTGTATTCTCTTAAACCATGGAAAGACATCTTGAACCAGAAGTTCGCAATATTATTGTGGGAGTCATCGAGGTCACCGGGAAGTGGATAGCGCAGAGGCAGTTGGCGTTTCTCTGAGTATGGCTTCCTGGGCTTATTCCTAGAGACTGGAAGTGCCAATAGGGGTCCTGGTAGTGGATTTCAGTGCATTAAGACGCTAAGGGAGGTCAGAAATATTGGCATTGCTGCAAGACTGAACCCTTTACATAGTGCCCGCCAAAACCTAAATGGAGTGTAAGATGTTTTGGCAAGGCTTTGATCAACAAATACAATTTTGGGAAGTTGGCATCACATCGTAGCCCCTGGCAACAGGCCGCCAACAGCAGCTCAGTAGGATATGGTGCAATGTCTGAGACAATGAGGTACTCTAACGTGCGCACCTGGCACATAGGCCTATCACACGTTTAGTTTCTCAAGTTAGGAGCGACTCACCTCCGTTCTCGGTAGATGGTGTGTACACCATGAGGTTCGGTGTAGAAGCCACCAAATCCATAGACTAATCAAACAGACATACCGACTTCTCCCGCTTGCCCCGTCCAAAGGGGTGGGTCAACATTGTGTACTTAACCGTGTGCCGCGAGGAAAAGATACCCAAAAAGGGCTGAAGCCTGAAATGCATCAACCGGCTACCAACGCGCTCCGTAGAGACGACAACTCTATCTTCCTGAGCGTTGGGGCTCCTCCAGCGTAAGAACTTCCGAATCCGGTCCGGCCACGGTTTCGTTTAAAGAGGAATTTCTAACCACCCCCTAGGGGAACCTGCCTTTGGTAAAGGACGCCCATGCGGGCATCACCGAACAACAGGCTCTAAGTACTCGCCAGGAGCCTCACCACTATGCCACTACGAGTCCATTCCCATGCACCTGGGCTTGTATTTTGAACGATTTTTCGCTGTCCCGTAGTTGAGATGGTTATGCACCATCCCTCGTCTATGCAGACAGGATTTGGTATCCAAGGATAAGTTGCAGCGAGCGCCTAGAAGAAAACACCAATTGGAATGCTGTTATATTTACTGATGAGTCGCGTTTCTGTCTGTAGAGCGAAGGCAGGCACCGAACAGTCTACCGAGAACACGGGATGCGGTCTGGGCTGGGATTTACACTGGAGAACGAACTAAACTCCATATTGTTGGAGGCAACCGCATCGCAGACCGTTATGTCCAAGAAATTATCAAGGAATATATTTTCGATTTTTGGAATTTTGGATTTATGTTTATCAATGTTTACAAAACCTGGGAATTTCCCATCTGCCCCTTCCCACATTGTCTCCAGGCCTCAATCCCATTGAGCACATGTGGGTGCGTTGCAGAGAAGGCTTTTCGATCACCACCCGCAGCCAGATGACCTGCAACAACTGAGAGAGCGTTGCAACATGTATGGAGTCAAATTCCTTATGGAATTAACGTCAACCTTATTAACAGTATGGCTAACAGGTGCATAGAGGTTTTAGCTAACAGAGAACATTATTTTCGGTATTAATTGTTTAAAAAAAATATCGTGTCCAATAAAAAAAAAAGAATTAAAACCTTTTATTTTGTTATTTCAATCGGAAAATGTGGGGCTATTGTGGTTGAAGCGCAGCCTAATGATGGAAGTAAAAAATTCTCTTGGGCCGTGTATTTTAAAGAATCAAGTCTTATTTTGGATTTCTAGTTGGATCGCAGAATAGAATTTACCTTTTTCTCGTTTTGAGTGGTCATACATTTATTTCCACTTTCCTCTGTAAACGTTTTCCAATGAAGGACATGATGAGGCCTAGTAGCCTCCATGTAATACTGCATCCTTTGTCAGTCGATCCACACGGTCTTTGAAGTGGTTCGTACTGTGGCCCTTAACTCTTTTTTTTGTTCCCTTTGTACATATCATATAATAACGTTTTCATTTCGAGAATTAGCGGGTCCAACTTTCCAGATATGCGTCCTATCATTCACAATGATTGTCGGGTTCCTAATCACCGTATTTTGTCTATATATGAGCGCTTCCCTATTGGCCAGACACTCAACTAGGAAGGTGTTTTCATAGCCCGAAGTCTTGGGTGTGCCGCGCTCTATCATCGAAGATGGTCTGCGGTGGTTTAGGACCACCTTCTCTATCGAAGAGAAGGGTGTAGTCGACAGTGATTTACGAAGGCTAGAGACGATGCTTAGGCTTAGGCTCTTACGTCCATGGAACTGTCATTTAACGGCTTAAACCGGTCCATAAAGTAAGGGTGAGTTGTAAAATAGTCATCAGAAGGCTTCGTAAGAACAGTCCTCTACTACTGGAGAGACATCGAGTAGAAAGGCGAAATCAGCATCTCGTTTGGACATTTGAACAATGGGGGGCTGTTCTCTTCATAGGCCAGTTTGGCTTATGGCAAACACATGACCAGGACCGTGTGTAGAGAAGATTTTGCTTCATGTGCCATAAGTGAGTCACAGCCTTTTCAAAGACAATCAATTATGATACGGGTTGGAATGGATCTTATGCACTAAGGTACATTGAGGAAGTTCTTCTGGGAGCTGGGATCCCACGCTCCATTTGTTGGAGAAGTGGTTGGAATGGAGCTTCTGCACTAAGGTACATTGAGGAAGTTCTTCTGGGAGCTGGGATCCCACGCTCCATTTGTTGGGGGGGGGGGTGTAATGGAGCTTCTGCACTAAGATACATTGAGGAAGTTCTTCTGGAAGCTGAGGTCACATCGTTCCATTTTTTGGGGGTGGGGGTGGTGTAATGGATCTTCTGCACTAAGGTACATTGAGGAAGTTCTTCTAAAGAGCTGGAGTCTCATCGCTCCATTTGTTGGGGGACAAATTCGTGTTAATGCATAACTAATTGCATTTAGCTCGATTAGTCATCCATTCTTGGAGGATGTAGGGATTACTTGCACGGTATTAAGAGCAAAACCATGTAATAAATATTTAAATTTTAACCTTTTACTAAATAATTTTCTGGTGAATTTTCTCTCAAACCATAATTAAAACTCATTAATTTTCGATCTCTTTTAATTTGGTTAACTTTAAAATAAGTATGTTGTGATTCATATAACGATAAAAATACATATAGTTTGAAATAAACATCAAAATACGAGTGCCCGGGTTTTTTTGTGCCTTTGGGTGTATTTTCAACACTTTGTAAACATTTTCCTTCATAATTTACGACCAAATATCGTCACGTTATTATAGTATTTAGCAAGTAATAAGGAAGAATCGTAAAAAAAAGCTCCAGGTCGCTACTAGCTTGACAAGTCTCTCTAAAAATAAACTTGTTTTTTCTTCTCTCATAAATTCACAATAACGAGGCTATCATCATAATTTATTAAGTGAACACACGCCACAATTTATACGACATAAAAACCAGAAAAAAAAGCTTGAATCAGATCCTGAACTGGGTCCCAGGGAGCTCAGGAATTGCGGGAAATATACAAGTGGGTGACCTTGAAAGAAAGGACCTCTTGTTCTGCCGACAGGATCTTAATCCAACTTCAACCGATCATGAGCGTTTAATGCCTGAAATCTGGATCGTTGAAAACGACAAACTGTGAGTAAGAGCTGTTTTTTTTTTTTTGAAAGGGTGAATCTTAATCCTGCCAGTTGAGAAAGAATAAACACAAAGATGACAAGACAAGCAAGCACTAGGTGACGAAGATACTCGCGCTAAGCTCTCAAATTTTTTCCGAATTTGCCAAGTCTCTCTCTAAAAAGTCATCTTGTTCTCCTCCATAAGTATACAGTACGATGATCTGCTTTATTTCTGCATAGAGGCAAAACAGGGGAGACGAAACAAACCCGGAAATTCAAAGTCATAGGGTCCATTGGGTACTAACTACTAAGACGTACAGGTATTGAATGGAAAATGCCCGGATGTCCTTTGGAGTAATGAACTTCCCACTCTACTGAGGATGAGGGATCAGTAATAAGAATTAAGACTATTACAGTCATTTTAGAGCAGAAGACAACTTGAAAGCAAAAGGGATGAAGATCTTTCGCCAGCTTCTTTTACAAATGATTTTCCTTTCTACGTGTGTGGTGTTTAGTGACCGTTAGTCGATGATTATTCGGAAATCGTGAGATGCGGTCTGGCGTGATGTAGGTTTCAGAAAAACATTTTCTTTACCGTGCCAACGTTTCGACCTTTATTGAGATCATCTTCAGGGCACAAAGTGTTTGTTTTCTGCGTAATTGTTTCATTCTTGTCATGTATGTTGGACACGCTCAACACGACACGCAAGAATAGCACAATTACGCAGAAAACAAACACTTTGAGCCCTGAAGATGATCTTAACAAAGATCGAAACGTTGGCACGATAAAGAAAATGTTTTCCTTTCTACTATAACATATTATTGGAGGGTGACAATGCTTTATCTTCTACTAAGATCCTAATGAAGATCCTAATGTTAACGGAAAAGAGGAAGTGAACGTCCTAGAATAGAAAGGACCAAACCTCGGGACAAGATCTCCTTTTGTCGACTTATTTGGAACAGAACTATGGGACAATCGAATTTTCATACTATTATCCAACATTCCACACAAAGCGATGGTCATTGTTTTATTTTTGCTTAAGTTAACAAACAATACCATCTATAAAAGACACAGAAATCCGACAAGTCAGATCCTCAAATGGGTCTCAGGTCGTGCAGTAATTGCGGGAAATGAACAAGTCCTTGGAAGGAAAGGACTGTCTAGGCAACTGATAGGATTTTAATCCCTTCGGAAGGATATAATAAGAAAACTGAAGAAAAAGTGAAAAGCACTTAATGCGAACACTCCAAGAATGCCTTTAAAGTTAACAAAAAATCAATAAATATAAGAAGAAGCAGGAAGAAACTGAAAATTCTACATAATATACATCCATTATATTTAGTGGTCTAGTGACCAAATTAGTTCTTTAAATTAATTAATCTTTTTATGTAAGGTTTTGGTCGGAATGAAAAAGTTAGTGTCTCGAGCGGGATTCGAACCAACGACCTTCGGCTCAATACGCCGCTGCTCTAACCACTTGAGCTATCACCATAGAGCCGAAGGTCGTGGGTTCGAATCCCGCTCGTGACACTAACTTTTTCATTTCGACCGAAAACCTTACATAAAATAATATATACAGTTTTCTTGACAGGATACTGCAGACTCAACCTGAAGAACATTGGCAACAACAAATGCTGATTGTGTGGATCCTGCAAAGGGCTGACCAAAACAATAAACCACGAGACATTTGAAAAAAATATGAATTGTAATTCTGTGGAAAAGACAGATTCATATACATAGATAAATAAAGTGTGGTGTACGAACAGACCGGAGAGACAGTAGCTCTTGATTATGGTATGATTATCCCACTGAATTCTACTTTCTGGTACACTTACAGTACACGTACAAAGAACAAACTCTAAAACTTTTTCGGTGAAAATGTACAAAAACACAGAATGGAAAAATGGGAAGAATTAGTTGACAGTCTGACCTTAAGGCAGGCGCCACACTAGAGGCAATGCGACGGAAATTTCCGCCACACCAGCTTACATCCAAAACACACAGCCAGCGACAGACTAAACGGAAATTTCCAGTGTCCGTCGACGGAACGTTCTGCTGGGTTCCGTCTAAACAGATCAAAACAGCGGAAAGTAGATGGGGTGCGCCACACTGACAACGGACAAGCGTAGAACGGAAGAGGTAGGCAGTCGGACTGTACGTGAAGCTGATCTAGGATGGACTTGGACCAATTTATTGTGGAAGTTCTATAGCCATGTTGGAAGAACTTGACAGGATAGGGTCGAAGTTCCCCGTACAGACAGTGTAATTGACCAAGTGTTACCCTTTTCATATTCAATGGATAAATCCTATGTTCTCTCTTCCTCTTCTGCTTCTCTATTGCCTTGTAAATACACAAAATGAAAAGTATTTCATTGTACCGTACATGATCAACTGAGTCACGTTGTCAACTGCATATACCAACTGTCGTTGAAATCATTCCGTTCATTTCCACGGTATATGTGGCTTGTTCAGGTTGGCGGATTTTTCGTCGCGAAATTGTGGCTAGTGTGGCGCCGGCTTAAGAATAAACTCAAACTCACATAACGGGAAATGGCAGAATATTTGAAAAAGTTCTAATTGTCTACCTGCCTGTTCATCTAATAAGGTCGGGGAGAATGGAAATGTTTTATTTGATTGTAACAACCTACATCCGGCAAGGCGTCTTCTCTTGTAGCATGTGGTCAGGCCGTACTCTGGCTTCTGTTATTCTACTATATATAATTATTCTTGGCCTATATTATTCTATTCCAATTAGCACAATAATGCATGAGAAATCACAAAACTAAAATAATATATTAATAACATTAAGTTAAGTTTAATCCTAACTCAAATGATGGTGAATAGACAAAAAATAAGATGACTATTCTACCTACGTACATAGGATGTCAAATGTCATTTAACTTCATAAAACGTTTAAAACCATCACAAAATAGTCTGCGTACATTTAAAATTAAACTAAAAAACTGTCTTTGCACTAATACTCCAAACGTTGTACTAATATTAAATTCACTAATTTCGTGGTCCGCTTGACCAATTAATATATTACAATTAACTAAGGTTTTTAGTTGAGATAAAAAAGTCAATGGCACGAGCGGGATTCGAACCCACGATCTTCGGCTTGATACGCCGTTGCTCTACCATTTGAGCTATCGTGACCTCGATCCACTCGGACACCAACTTCCTATCTCAACACCACCTTAAGAGTTTTCCCTCTTTTTTGCCATTTTTCGTTGTTCTAATAGTTCTTATCATTTACCACTCGCGACAGACCAATCCTGGCTTGAAAATTCAACGTTGAGCAATTTAAAATCCACGAAGTTCACTTCTTCACGTAGATCGAACGAAGGTTCTGCAAAAACGACCCCGAGATCATACCCATCTGATCTGAAGCCCTTGCTCTTCTGGTTAAGTAAGGACTCGCAGCATGGCAAGCCGATTCAGCAGAAGCGGTGAAGGGTGTCCACGCAGAAAGGTTTTTTCTTGACAAATTACATCTACACAACTCCCGTTGTCATAACCATAATTTTACACTAGACAACCTAAGTTCATGGTTTAAACATAACACCTGTAACTACTGCGGTCGTAAAACTCTAGTATTCGGCGGGACATCATCCTATTATACTCCTGTTTTCGATGTACAAGAATTCATTGTAAGGAGAAAATATTTTAGCGGTACTTTCTCCAGGAAAACACAAAACGCACACATTTTGGGGATTTCATGACCATTCACTATTTGGTCTGTTCGAAAATTCAAGCGTAAACTTATATCTCGAATCCTTCAGGATTCACTTCAGAAATCGGTTTAGGGTTTTGTCCAGATACCGGTTGGTTGTTCAGGGTTAACTAGAGACGTGTACCACATGAAAGGGAGTGATCGGTCTGTCGGTTACACTATTTACGATTGAGGTCGACGGTATTGACCGACCGATGATTTTTTCTAGCTAATAAATGCCACGTCCAAAGTAAATATTGGTCGCGTTATCCCTACTGGAGTCGACCGAAATCTGTACTTTTTTTTGGAAACTCATGGTGAAAAGAGGCAATACTATTCTCTCTGAACTTCTTTCCCGTTTTTCCATCAATGTTTACAAATTATGGCCTTCTTATAACTCGATGATTCAAACGCAGGAAAAGAAAGATTAATTAATTATACAGGCAATATCGAACAATCTGAAGCTGTAAAAAGCTGTAGCTCGAAAAAAATTGGTTAATATTTATCAGTAATTTCTTTTACGGTTTATCCTTTCCCTTTTTGAAAGGACAAAAGGAAAAGAAGCTTTATCTGACTTTTGGTTTAGTTCACTTAAACATATACGTTATATTTAGAAGAAAATTCAAATATTGGTTACACAACTCGAAGCTTTCGATATTTTTTAAATGAGCTCTGCGGTATGATGAACCTATAGCTTGGTTTTTCCAGATCATTTTGATTTGACTATCCTATCGGGTTTGATCTGTCAGATGCCGTATCAAATTTGCCTTCTTTCATTTTATTGAGACAACATAACAAACAGACCAATACCGAGATAGCAGAAATTGTGAATATAAGCCAACAATGATCGGAAACAACGAAGCTACAGATTCATCGTTCTTCTCAAGAATAATTCACACAATGCACCTTTTTGTTCGACACTGGGAAAATGTCTCTCAGGCCTGCTTCCGAGTGAAAGTCATACATCACGACAGTGTAAGTTAAAATAAAAATAAAGCCATTCAGTTCGTGGTCCGATTGACCAATTAACATTTTTCAATTAGTTAATATTTATGAAAGGTATTGGTTGAGATGGGAGGTTGGTGTCCGAGAGGATCGAAGTCACGATAGCTCAAGTGGTAGAGTAGCGGCGTATCTACCCGAAGGTCGTGGGTTCGAATCCCGCTCGTGACACTGACTTTTTTAACTCAACCAATACGTTTCATAAATATTAATTAATTAAAATAAAGTTTAATGTAGGTTTTGTCAAAAATTGTACCTCGAGATCCTTGTTCATTTTCTTTTTGGTGGTGATCGATTTAGGCTCGAGCTGAGGGAGGGTGTTGACGAGGTGCTGGGCGGCCTCGGCCAGCTTAGCTACCTGGGGCTCCAGGAGTACCGGGGGCGCTTGCAGAGGTGACCCGGGTGGCCCGGGACTCGGACCGCCGGAACTAGGACCTCCTGGGCTGCCGCTGGGGCAACCACTGTCCACCTAAGAACAAAAAGCAATACATTTTAAGAAACTCCTTGATATCTGGAGTATGATGAATCTGTAATTTGATCGTTTTCGATCGTACTGGTCACTAAGACTAGGCCAAATTAACGAGGGCGTACCAAGGTTGGTGTGTCGGTCCCAACTTTTGTCTTATTTGTTCAATTTTGTGGAAATAGCTAACAGACCAAACCCTGAAGGTGTTCTGGCGTCTGAGATACTAAACAAGTTTGGGCAGGAAGACTAGGATGATCGGAAACTAACAAACTAACATAAAACACTGGTGTCATAAATAAAATCATAATTAAGTTTATAGTGATTATAACACTTTGTAAATAGTGTTGGAATGAGACTATATAACAATTTTTTTTAAACAAAAATCAATTATCAAGTTTTATACCAAGAGTTGACTTTTTATTTGTACTAACTGCAATATATGGAATTTAAATTCTTTCTGTTTGTCAACACGAAACAAATACAGCGTATTTTCAATATTACTTTTTTCTTTTTTTGAAAATTTAATGTTGGGAAAATGGACAGTTAAATCAAACAGGGCAAAGTTGCATTATAAGTCCTTTGTTCTTGACCCCTCTTCCTCATTAGAGAACAGAGAACGTGAAACTATTTATCTCCTCTGTCTCCCTCTCACATTATTATCACGACACTTAAAAAAATGCGCGATTGTGTGTCACTGACACTCTCAACAAGACACACAATAATGACACATCTACACAGAAAACAAACACTTTGAGTGAGTACAAATACTTTGATTGAATATAAAATTTCTATCATTGTAATTGTATAATTTAAACAATGTTTATAAATCCCTGGCCCTGAAGATGATCTCAATAAAGATCGAAACGTTGGCACGATAAAGAAAATGTTTTGCTAAAACCTACGTCACACCAGACCGCATCACACGATTTCTAAATAAATATTTATGTTTATTTTTGTATGCTGTTCGAATGAACGGAAAGACTTGTTTTGTTTTAATAAGTTGTCGCTTGTTTATCAACGCTATTTGTTTATCAAGTCCCCCAGATTTCATGGTTTTCTGGCCAATTTAGTTTTTATTGTGAATTGTAAATGAAAATGTAAATTCGATATCTTTTTTACTATAGATAAATATTTTATTTAGGTATGGATCAATAGGAACTTATTTAGTGTTAAATTAAGCCATTTTAGCTTTGGAAATATGTGAGTTTACGGGTTTTTTCTCCCGAAGGGGAAAATTTGTATAATTGTCTATAAAAATCCTGAAAGGATAATTAGGCCCTAACGACAAAATTGCCCATTTTTCCCATCGTCGGCCCTTTCACCTCAAAGAAGCCGATTCCTCATAGAAAAGTGAATTTTTATCTCTACCTCCTTCCCCACACCTTCAAAATCAAACTAATATAAACATGTGTGGTGATTAGTGACCGTTAATCGATAATTATTCAGAGATGCGGTGTGGTGTTTTAGAAAAACATTTTCTTTATCGTGCCAACGTTTCAATCTTTATTGAGATCATCTTCAGCGCCTGGGATTTCTTTTTCACATCCTACATGTATTTGTTAAATGTAAACAATGTTTGTAAATTCCAGGCCCTGAAGATGATCTCAATAAAGATCGAAACGTTGGCACGATAAAGAAAATGTTTTTCTAAAACCTACATCACACCAGACCGCATCTCACGATCTCCAAATAATCATTATCACTAACGGTCACTAAACACCACACATTTTTATAGTTAGGTTAACTCAATTAACTTTTCGCATTTATGGTTTTTATAAAATTGCCTTTTATAAAGCTTCATTTATTTTATTTTTTTATCAACGTGAGAAAAAACTTCATGGTATACACTAGTACCATTTTCATAACATAATGATGATTATTAAATCGAAAGGAATGAAAGGTGGGAAAAGATAGATAGTCAAGATAGAATCAAATTGCCTCTCCACCAAAAAGAGACAAGGTTGTGTCTTAGGTTCACTGTTTTGACTCTTTTTAAAATTGGAAAAATAAAACGCAGGCTAGGGGATCTTGAAGAAATGAAAATTATTGGTTCCATCGTTTTACGATTTTCCACCTTCATTCTTGCTTATTGTCTGTCAGACGGCTTGGGGCAGTCATCCTCAGAGGCTGATCTGAGAGTTTTCTTTTATGTTTGACAAAATGACCATTAGACCAACTGCACATGGAGAAAGCTGGCACGGGTCTGTCAAACTAATTAAACGAGAAAATGCTAACCAGGATATACAGAAACGACCAAATTGTACATTGTGGAACTGTGAGGTCTTGAATAAATTAAAACTCGGTGTTTTCCGACGTTCCTGGTACGCCTATTCTCGCTGATATTATTTTGATCAAATTAAGCACAGACTGACCACTGAAGTTGGCCCTACGTGGAGGATAATCTGATGATAGGAGGTGACCGGATTACTGGTTTAAAAAATATATCAGATATGAATATTTACCAAAGCTGGACTTGTTGAAGAAGGCGGCGGCGTGTCTTTGGGCAGCATCGGATGGACTGGTGTCGAAGCCGGCTGAGGGCTGATGGCCAGGACCGTCGGTGCGACCGGCCTCGGCGAAAAACCCTCGCCGGAGGTCAAAGGGCTCCTGAACATCCCTAAGGGCAAAAAGTATTGTTTTAACCATAATAAACATAATTGAAGAAAAGAAACGTCGTGAAAAACATTTTAATTGGACGGCGAGAGAGTGCCGAGGAAAGAAGGAGAGGGGAAATCGAGGGTGAAGAAGAGGATGGAAAAAAAACCCGACGACTCTTTTCCAGGAGCGCACCTGTAAATTAACAAAAAATTGATATTGTTTTCATCCTGCACACTGTTCGGAAAAGAGAGACAGAGAGTGTGTGTGAGAGGATGAGAGAATGGGAGAGAAAAACGACCAGACTCTGTATCACTGTCTGTAACGAAAGGGTATTTTTTATTTATCCAACGGGTGATCCCGGGTCCCTTTTTGGAACACTGCTTTTTAAATCCTGCCGACGATTAAAAAATTTTCCCCTTTGGGAGAAAAAACCCCGCAAACTCACATATTTCCAAAGCTAAAATGGCTTAATTTATCTCTAAATGAGATCCTTTTGATCCATACCTAAATAAACTATCTATAGACAAAAAATTCCGAATTTACATTTTCATTTACAATTCACAATAAAAACTAAATTGACTACAAAATCATAAAATCTAGAGTACTTGATAAACAAATAGCGTAACAAGCGACAGCTTATTAAAACAAAACAAGACTTCCCACTCAATCGAACAACATACAAAAATACAAAAAACAGCATACAATGGCTATCATCAAAGTTTATACATTATTTCTGTTAAGTTCACTATTTTTCGTCGTCCGTTGTGTTTGTTACGGCGGTAATTGTGAATAGAGAAATTTTCTAATTTTCAAGACTGTTCAACAACAGAAATAATACAATTAATTAAGGTTTTATGTTGAGATAAAAAACTCAGTGTCACGAGCGGGATTCGAACCCACGACCTTCGGCTTGATACGCCGATACTCTACCACTTGAGCTATCGTGACTTCGATCCCCTCGGACCCTAACGTCCTATCTCAACCGCACCTTTTGAATTTTCCCTCCTTTTTGCCATTTTTCAAATGTCTGTAATCTATTTGATTCTCAGCGACAAGTGAAATGGCCACGGAGAGCTTTATTGAAATATACTTCATTTTAATTCATTAAGTTCACTATTTTTCGTGATCCGCTTGACCAATTAATATTATACAATTAATTAAAGTTTTAAGTTGAGATAAAAGTTAAGAAGTTAGTGCCCGAGTCGAAGTCACGATAGCTCAAATGGTAGAGTATCGGCGTATCAAGCCGAAGGTCGTGGGTTCGAATCCCGCTCGTGACACTGACTTTTTTATCTCAACATAAAACCTTAATTAATTGTATTCTTTCTGTTGTTGAACAGTCTCGAAAATTGGAAAATTTCTCTATTCACATTATCGCCGTAACAAACACAATTGGGACAATTTTTTCTGGCAGAAAATGACACGACATTAAATATATTCAGAAATAACATTGCAAATTGCTTAAGACCGTAGAACATCTACCAATTTTTTACATAAATCGAAATATAAAAAACAAAGCTCTAACTTTAGAAATTTCATAATGAAAAAAAAAATTACAACACTTTCTCTTCAAATAGAAAATCAATAATTCTGGTCTAAATATATAACGCAAGTTCCCTTTCATCAGGGGAAATTTATAGTCATAAATTGCAAAAACTGAACAAGTATTCAAATCAAATTGGTACCTTAACGTTTGTACCATGTAATGTATAATGGATTTTTTTTTAAATTATCCGGTCCGTTTATCCTCGCTACTTTTGCCCATCCGAGTCCTTTCGTCATTTTTAGTTGAATTTAGGACAATTCGTCTAGTGACCGTTAGTTAATGATTATTCGGAGATCGTGAGATGCCGTCTGGTGTGACGTAGGTTTTAGAAAAACATTTTCGTTATCGTGACAACGTTTCGACCTTTATTGAGATCATCTTCAGGGCCTGGGATTTATAAACATTGTTTACGTTTTACAAATACATGTAGGATGTGAAGAAAATGAATTTATACAATGCTAGAAAATTTTATATATTTTTTTTAGTCTAAAATTTTCTAGCATTGTACAAAATTTTTTTTGCACATCCCACATGCAGTTGTAGAATTTAAACAATGTTTATAAATCGCAGGCCCTGATGATGATTTCAATAAAGATCGAAACGTTGGCACGATAAAGAAAATATTTTTGTAAAACCTACGTCACACCAGACGGCATCTCACGATCTCCGAATAATCATTAACTAACGGTCACTAGACGAATTGTCCTAAATTCAACTAAAATTGATTGGTTTATGCCAAGCTTTTGACTTATTTTAAGGTCATCATCTGGGCAATGATATTAAATTAGAAAATAATGTGATTGAAATAAACGTGTCTGCAAATGATTTTTAAAATTTCTTTCCTATGAACATGACCCCCTACAATATTACAACAATCTGTCAGTAGTAAAAATATTTTGTATATAAAGCTCAAAATTGATAGCTGGAAGCTTAGGATTGTCCGTCTCGGCGTCTAGAGATCATTTGCTTTTTTAAGTAATTGACAGACGAAAAAATAATAAGCATTCCGGTGAGGTCGTTATTACGTTTTTTCTCCCTCCAGAGGCTGGAATATGGGATTCGTATGCTCCGGCGCGCCGTCTCCGTCACGTCTTAAGAAATTGAATATTATAAAACCAAAAATGTTACAAAGGCAAGGAGGGAGACAAAGAAACTGTCTGAAATATCTCCGAGATGGTTACATCCGCTGAATTGTTAATTGTCTTCTGTCCGGTGGAAAAAACTTACTTCTCCAGTGAGAACCGGAGTGTTTTCTGGACCGGTGGATTAACAAGAGGTACCGATTGTCTAACATGAGATAATACAATAGCACCAGACAGGGAAATGTTTGGGCTTATTGCGGCTTATTTTATAACCTATAAAATATCAAAACTTTATATCTTTTTTATAAATTTGTAGTACATTACGACTACTTTTAAGTAGGAAACATATAACAACGAGCAAGGAAATATATACAAAATTAAAATCAAGAGTGGAGAAAATGCCCATTGGTAATACTCCAATGATACTAAAATGTCTGTTTCTTCTTGTGTAGAAATGAGTGGTGTTTAGTGTCCTTTAATTAATGATTATTTAGAGATCGTGAGGTGCGGTCTGGTGTGACGTAGTTTTAGAAAAACATCTTGCCAACGTTTCGATCTTTGTTAAGATCATTTTCAGGGACTGGGATTTAAATATATTGTTTGGATTATACAAATGCATGTAAGATGTGAAAATGAATTTATACAATGATGTACGCAATATAGAGATTTTAGGTTTATTCGAAGTATTAGTACTTACTCAAAGTGTTTGTTTTCTGTGTAGATATGTCACGGTTTTGTGTCGTGTTGCGAGTGTTAGTAACACAAATGTTTTTTTTGTTTATAACTATAAAAATGTGTGGTGTTTAGTGACCGTTAGCGATAATGATTATTTGGAGATCGTGAGATGCGGTCTGGTGTCACGTACGGTTTAGAAAAACAGTTTCTTTATCGTGCCAACGTTTCGATGTTTACTGAGATCATCTTCAGGGCCTGGGATTTATAAACATTACACAGATACAGCGATAGAAATTTTATATTCAATCAAAGTATTTGTACTCACTTAAAGTGTTTGTTTTCTGTGTAGATATGTCAAGGTTTTGTGTCGTATAGCGAGTGTTAGTAAGACATAAATGTTTTTTGTTTGTTTATATTAGTTATTCAGAAATCGTGAGATGCGGTCTGGTGTGATGTAGGTTTCAGAAAAACATTTTCTTTATCGTGCCAACGTTTCGATCTTTATTGAGATAATCTTCAGAGCCTGGGATTTACAAACATTGTTTACATTTAACAAATACATGTAGGATGTGAAAACGAAATCCCAGGCGCTGAAGATGATCTCAATAAAGATTGAAACGTTGGCACGATATAGAAAATGTTTTTCTAAAACACCACACCGCATCTCACGATTTCTGAATAATTATCGATTAACGGTCACTAATCACCACACATGTTTATATTAGTTTGATTTTGAAGGTGTGGGGAAGGAGGTAGAGATAAAAATTCATTTTTCTATGAGGAGTCGGCTTCTTTGAAGTGAAAGGGCCGACGATGGGAAAAATGGGCAATTTTGTCGTAAGGGCCTAATTATCCTTTCAGGATTTTTATAGACGATTATACAAATTTTCCCCTTTGGGAGAAAAAACCCCGTAAACTCACATATATCCAAAGCTAAAATGGCTTAATTTAACGCTACATGAGTTCCTATTGATCCATACCTAAATAAAATATTTATCTATAGTAAAAAAGATATCGAATTTACATTTTCATTTACAATTCACAATAAAAACTAAATTGGTCAGAAAACCATGAAATCTGGGGACTTGGTAAACAAATAGCGTTGATAAACAAGCGACAACTTATTAAAACAAAACAAGTCTTTCCGTTCATTCGAACAGCATACAAAAATAAATACCGTGGAGGCTTTCATCAAAGTTTATACATGAGTTCCGTTAAATCTATTATATTTAGTGGTCTATTGACCAAATTAGTTCTTTCAATTAATTAGTTTTTTTTAAGGTTTTTAGTTGAGATAAAAAGTTAGTGCCCCGAGCGGGATTCGAACCCATGGCGTTCGGCGCAATATGCAGCTGCTCTACCACTTGAGCTATCCTGAGTTCGATCCACTCGGACACCAACTCCCCATCTCAACCTACAACCTTTCGAATTTTCCTCCTTTTTGCCATTTTTGAATGTCAATAAAATTATGTTTGACGTAACTAACGAGATATGTTTTCTTGAGCCGTCATGAAATTCTTTACAGCTGTATAATTATTCACTGCAATATTGATCAAACTGGAGCTACCCAGTTCTTAGAATTGGGTTTATATAAACGGAATCTGATTCCATCAAATACATAAATGATTTATACGCCATTAATATCAGAAATTTATTATTAATCGAACCAGGATTGCCGGTTCTTAGAAAAACGTTGATTACAAATACATTAATAAA